GACCTTCATAACTATTACAAAGTGCATTTCAGCACTTGAAATTCAATGGCACCTTATTTTATACATCATGCAGATAGAAATGTAGTATACACTGTACAGTACAAAAGAACTTCATCTTACTTTGGATATTGTGTACAGTTAGATGAACAAAAAAGTATTAAAACACAATGCAGAACACAGTCAGGATCTTTTATGGGCTGCATTCTGTTAGCAACAGTGCCAGATCTCTGGTTCATCTCTGTAAACTGACAAAGTCTGTCCTGCAGTTTAGAGTCAGTGCTGCTCTATGATAGCTGCTTTCCATTCAGAAGAGTTCAAATCCTCCATTTGACTATAACACAGGTCTCCAGGAAAATGAAAAGAATTGATGCTTAATAAAATCTGACCTTACAACGTGATCAAAATGTGCCCAAATTCTAGTCTGAGCTCACACACCTAAACATATTATGTCTTTAAAAAACAGGTTTTTGAATCTGATCTACAACAAGAAGCAGTTCAGGTGAGTCACGTCTTGCTCTGTATTGCTGCCCGTGGCTTCTTTTCAGTTCAGCTGAGAGAAAGCTTATAAGGCAACAGCAGCAGAGCAATGTCAGCTGCTCTGGGGGAGAACAAATTGAACAGAAGATCTATTGGATGAGTTCCATGGCTTGCAAAATGAGATGAGACCAGAGGATAAAATAGGAAGCGTCCCTCTAATGTGCTACATAGCTGTTTGGAAGTTAAAAGTTCAGCAGTTCAAAAGACTAGGAGAAGTCCAGTGGGCGGATCATCATGGCTGTGGCTCGTAGGGAGTAGCTGGGGCCCCTGAAATAATGCCACTTGATACCGTTCAACTTCCCTATGTGTTGTCCTTGGGCGAAGTACATGCCATTAAGGTTAGATGGGCCACAGGCATCAAACCACCAACCTGAGCAGAAGATAAGGAGAAGAAAAATACTGAAATATTGTTGTCTGCCTAAAATACAGAGTAAAACCACATTCAGTAGTCAATTAAAGGGCTGAGCCATTCTATTGTACATCACCAGTGGGGGGGGGAAACTAGGTAAAAACAAGGTATCAGTCGAGTTACTTCAATTATACTGCAAGTGTTTCCATTGGTTGAAAGTTTCTCATGGCATCTCCACCAGGGGGGTCATGGCAATGGTGCAGTGCTATCTGCTCAGAGTATAACTGTCACTGGGTTCACTGGGACACCAGTACCTGTTGCTGAACACTTTTGGGACATCATCCTATTTTAAGCAGGACTGTACTGTATGTGGATGAGCTCCAGTAGGTGCATCAGATTAATGAACGGCACTGGAAAATTTGACAACACATTTCATGATTTCCCTGAACTAGCGCAGGTATTCAGAGAAAAGGGTAGATGTGCTGCAACTTACAAGATGGTTACTTTATGATTTAAGCCACACACTGGCTTCATGTCCTTTAGGAGTTGATTTTAAAATTCTATTCCAGGTTAGGAAGGGTACAAGTGGTTTAGCGCCTCCATACTTAGTCAGTTGTCTCTGCATCTTCTATCTGCTGCGAGCACCTAATGTACAAGCAGTTAAAAAATAAAGCTACATCTGTTACCGTCCAAAATTATGGAACAACCGGTATAAAAACATACCATTTTTTTGAATTGATTTAATCTGTTTTCTGTAATCATTCTTTCAACTAGACTGTGCCCTTGATTTTTCTGAATCTTACTGTAATTGTATTTTTATTTAATTATTATTATTCAATTTCAGATGAGATTTACTGGATATAAAATGTTTTCCAGTGTTTGTTCCACTTCAGGCTTAAAGCAGAATGCATGAATGTATCCTACATGCCATTCTTGACTTGATGATAAACCACAGAACACAGAACCACCATTATTCAGTGTACACAGCAGCAAACCTTTGGGATTTATGATCAGTATCCTCTCGGTTTGCAGGCCACAGAGTTATACTGACTTGTTAAAAAAAGTGCGATGTCTTATTTTGAAAGAAAAAAAGACTTAGCTAATGTAGTTTTTATGACCAAGGGATCCACCCTGCCTCCTACTGTCATTGCTTTATCCCTATGTGTATGTTCTGGTGTTGGGTAAATTTACACTGTAGATTATGTGTGTGCCAACATTACAACCTCCTCTGTATTCTTAATACACCAAATGTAACAGAGAAGAATTTTTATCTTGTATGTTCCAGACGCTGACATCATTTAACCTCAGCCCTGCTCTTATAAATGCAGGGAGTAAATGATATATTGTATTTACTCCAGCTAGCACAGTGCTGGGTTCACCCTAGCCTCGACTTACACTACATGTTATTAACCTTTTTTGTGGCTGGGTACAGGCAGGGTATGAATCAAACAGATCAGGGCTGATGATTAGTGATCAGTGCCCTTTTCTGGCTTCACTCACAATCACCTAAGAGGTCATCTACTCATAGAAATCTTTGGTTAGTACCAGCTCAGGACTCCATAGCAGCAAAGCCACCATGAGGTGACAACGAGGGTCACTGGGCTCCACTTACACAGCAGGAGAAGCAAAGTCATTTCAACTTCTTTAACACTCGGTGCTGTGCTCAGGGATTTTTTTATAATGTGCTTGTTTCTAACTGCAGTACAACTGGGAGAGGATGCAGAATATATAGCATAATGGGTGAAGATAAAAGTGGCTATGTTCATCCACTGCATGTCTTGCAAGACAAAGTTATAAACATACTGACCTGATCAAATGACTGAGCAGTGAACATTATAGGGTTGGTCATAAAGCCAATCAGAGAAAACCGCCTTTGGAAAGTTAGATGGAATGGTTGTACAGCAATATTGTTTCCCTCATAAAAGAAGGTGTGTGATCTCCCTTGTGCCATGTGGAGGCAAAGAGTTAAAGGATAATTCCACTTGTTTACATCTTGGATAGTTAACCACTTCCTGGCAGCCATAAAAACACCAAACTCCTCCAATCTGGCCCAACTGTCAGCTTGTTCTTACCTGGTTTGGTTGTCTGACCACTCACACAATTTTTGCTCTGTTGTCTTCACTGCAGCAATATTGCAGTGTTCTCAGCTTTTAGCAATTACTTTGCTGATTACAGTGTTATTATAGCAAACAGAAATCATGGCCAAAATTACAAAGATAATACCCAAGATATAATAAACTTGAATTATCCATAAACCAGGAGGTAATGGTGATGTACACAAAGGCCCCCCTGTTCGGCTGCACTTACCCCCTGTTAGCATGAGGGCGCACTTGCACATGCAGTTGTCATTGTCCATGTCCTTGGTGCTGAAGTCTGCCCCGTGGATGACTAGGCTGCTCTGTCTGCCTGCAGTCCCACTGTGACTTTTCAGGAACAGCCTGAAAGACATCAGGAGGAGGAAGAGGAGGGAGTCAGGACATGAAAACACATCAGGGGGAGGAAAGGGTGCAGAGGAGTGTGGCTGGTGTGAGCAGTGTAAGCACTAAACACAGCAAGAAGACATAACATGTTGAAAGAAATGTCTCCTGAGATATTTATTTTTTGTCTCGATTGAGTACATACAGCATACTGCACCTGGAACAAACATTAACAGGGGCACAGAATATAAAATAAAGAGTGAAAGGAAGAAAATGAAAGAGTTATATAGAGTGGAAAGAGCATGTAACGTAAGGAATGTGTTGAAATCACATTTCCATCTGCAGGGCTACAGTATGTTAAGTTGCACAAGGACAACGAACTAAATCTGTGAATACAGACTTGTAACAGTTACACAGTAAACAAGTGGGTGATGAATTAACCCAGAAACACAGGATACAAAAATCCAGTGCAGCGGATTAGCTGGTTATCAGTGTACAAGTGGAGCTCCTCACTTGAACACCATAACTGGGGAGTGGAATATGAAAGGATGAGGTTTCTGGATTGTTGACAGGACTTAAGTATTATACCAGCAATATTTTGAAATGTAAAGATGGAGAACTATTGCAGCAGTATTTTTGCCTCTTATTTCTAACATCAATTAGATAAAACTTCTTTTACTGTCCAAAAAAACAAACCAAGAGAAAAGAAAATCAGTACTTTGCAGATGTATGGGTATTTACTGGTTCCACTGAATAAATGCCATGATGCTATAATTGAGTAAACAGCTGTGGAGAATGATGCCCAGTGCTCAGTGCAAAACCTGAATAGTAACATGGAGCTTGGAGGCAGATTTCATCAGTGTGTCCCATTGTGAACTCTCTCCTGGTGTGACTGGGAAGTGCTACATGTGGATCAGACAAACCCTGTGTCCGTCTGACAGCTCTACCGTTACCGCTGGGACATGCCTTCCCCTGTCCCGCTGAATCACACTTCTGCTTTTTTCTCTAAATGTCTTTGTTTCTCAGTTTTACTTTCTCCCAAAAGAGGAGTGTACATCCACAGAGCAGGACCGCAGCACCGTGCCAAAGAGGTCTCTATTAATAAGTATGGAACACTGTCAAAGGAAAAAATTCCCTGAATTCATTTCACAACAACAAGGGACTATGGGCGTGTAGTGAACTTTGCACCCAGTTTGGCTTTTCCGATGAGAAAGTAACAAATACAAAAACAATATTTTATGTTTTCAGGAAATGTTGAACACACTGTATGCACCTCCAGCCTCAGCCTTTTGTAGCATTAAGGTCTGAGGCATCAGGTTTAACATGTCAAAAAAGGGGGTGGTGGGTGGTGGGGGGAGACTGGTAGACTTCCCAGGAAAGAAAGTTGTTTAATGTGAGAGACTCCTGTATTTGGACAGCTGTGTAAACGGCTGATTCGAACAGCAGAGTAACAAGTGTGACTGCAGGGAATTCACTAAGCCACTAAATGAGTAAGTGTAATCCCACAATGTGAGGGTGAGTTGTGTCTAATCAGTGGCACCAAATGACCACCAAACATTACAAGTTTGGATAAGGGCCTGTGAGTATATCATAACTAGCCTCTGTACGTCTGAAAGCGCTGGTTCCTGTGAACTGTTCGTCATCGGTGACACATGCTGGAGTATTATCCTGTGTCTACCAGGCAGCAGATGTCTTCTGAGATAGATGCATTTTGCTATTCAGAGTAAGCACGCTGCTTCACTTACGGGTAGTTCTATTATCTAATTCCTGATTCTGAGGAACATAGTGGTCTGCTACTGCTCTGATAAAGAACAGGCTTTACTGCACATTTACTCTCCATTTTCCCAAAGCTCTTATGCTCACTGTTGCACTGACGAATTGCCAAGGCACATCATCAAGAGGGATTTTCACCATGACACTTTGACAGGCTGCTTTAAATAGTCTGTGGGTGTGTTTACCAGCTGCACAGCATATTTACCAGACCAACAATCCTCAGTCCAACTGACATCTGCAGTTTTTTCCTGTAAGGGACTATTATGCTCTCAAATGATAAGCGGGGTAATCAAAGACAGGCCAAGTAATGAACTCAAAAGGAAGAGATGCTCTTCCTGACCCATTTCTAAGAATGAGAGTTTCTAGTGGCTGATGTTAATGAAAGGTCTCAGGGGACAGACATCTGCTCAGCCAGGTTAGTAACCTAATGCAATTGGTTAAGGCTCATTTGTAACCAAAACACTGAGTTGTGAGGGGAATCATTTGGTTGTACTCAATGACACCTCAGGGGAGTCATGCTGTCTTATTCCTCTAACATCCAGCTGGCTTGTTTGTGATCTTTCAACATGTTCAGAAAGTCAAAGCAAGAACAATGCATTTTCCCTCCCTTTTTATCCCCAATGGTACTTTTTCATGCAGATATCTGTAGTTTTGGTTACATTTCCCAGGATTTTGAGCTGAGACTCATCACAAATACCACCCCTGTCAACACTTAGGTTTATTGAACTGGATAGTAAACTAGTTGGCAGGCAAATTTAGTCTTGGTGGACAAACACAAAACCCAGCATGTAAGGGCTTGACAGTAGCATTCAGTAGGTGGTGAAAGAATATGAGCATAAAGTAATGTCTAGGACTTTGTGCTAATGTTAGCAAGCTTGGCTAAGAAGCTGGGATACACAACTGCCAGCAATGGGTCCTCACACACACTGAATGTCGTAAAATACTAATGGTTGATATGCAACGCAGGGCTATACTGGAATATGATATATTGGTCCCATAAATGGGTAAAAATGGTTTTAACAGCTGCAGTGTTATTACAGTACAGTACTTTTTCTTATAGAAGTGAGGGCAATTTAAATGTTAGTTCGACAGTAATATGGCGGCTGCAAATGTCTCCAGAGGAGATACAACAAAACCTGGGCAAATAAAACCAAAACTATATGTGACTAAATACCACTATGGGTAAGGGAGAAAATGTTTTTTTGTCATTCTGATGAACCGACGCCTTATAGCTTTGATACAGATTCAGTTTCAGTCATAATGACTCTATGCTCTGGAGTATTACTGTTGCAAACTGTGCATGTGGGAAAGGATTGTAGCCGGGTCAGGTGAGGAATCAGATGACTGTGGTCTGTTTATCTGAGACCATTTCCAAGTAAAACTAGGTTACAGTGATTGACATTTTTAGAAACACTCTTATCAAACATCATCAAACATTTAATGCCTTAATAATGGCGCATCTTTTTAGTTCAAACTCTGAATTTCAGTAGTGATGTTTCTGAAATGTTGCACCTTGTACATACAGTACAGTAAGATGCAAGTATAATACTACTTAGGTATAAATGGTTAAAAAATAAACTCTGAAGTCAAAATAGTTAAAAGGACACACTGTGCTGAGCTCTGTCTCAGCGCTGTTCCTTCAAGAAAGCGCCTTTAAAAATGCACCAGAACCAGGCTGAGTATTTGTAAAAATGCACTTGCACTGGAGTTGTCTTTATAGAAAGTTGAGAAGCACTTACAGAGGACTTATAGGAGTTTCTTTGCCACAGAGTCTATCCCTCTATGCTCACACAGAGCACAGATGCGTTGGATTGTAGCTGAGCAAACTGGAAATGGCATGGGGCCCTAAGATCTGTTAACATGTCGCCTGTTTGCTGTCTCTCTCTTATCTGACATGTCACATTTTGCAAACCACTGTGCAACTCAGAACAGAAGATACTGCTGTCATACAACAATATTATGAATGAATTCCACCGGAGAGGTTTGAGTCAAGGCCGGATGCAACAAGTTTGAGGGAAAGTGAGTAAACATTCGGCCAGAAATAAAGATGTTAAGTGAATTATTATATTGTAGCTCTAAACTGTGTTCAAATAAAAGTGGTTGGAACAAAACATATCACTTGTCATCTTTTGACTCACGTGCCAAGTTTATCTTGCTTGTTTTCTTTCATCTCTATAACATGAAGGTGACAGCCCAGTCAGCTGAGAGTCCAGCGCATGCTGTTACACACCTGGCAGTCATTAGCCTCCTGAACTGGAGCCTGATTGGCCCATTGCAGAGGTTAATCGCCCTGACCGAGGGTTCGCTTCCTACTGCCAGGCCACAGAGGTGTCTGGCTGGCTGAGACCCGCTTGACTGCTCTCTTCCACTGAGCATCATATGACTCAGCTGAGACGTATATAAACAGTATGTATAAATGTATATAGGCCTGGAAGAGTGCATATGGACTGACAAAATGCTTTTTAATTCTCACTGGTTTCTGCGGTCACAGATATATGAATAAAGTTGCCAAATGCAGAGTATACTCTTTTTTTTTTTACAACTTAAAGGGAAACCAGAAAGACAGCTGAGAAATCTGTTGTCTGTTTATTGATAGAAGGTCACAGGTGCCACTTTCTTAATGCAGCAGCTGGATATTTGTTATGTATATGCCCAGCTAAGCATAAGACTCTTTTACCTCAAAGTCCACATACCAGAACCTTTTGCAACTTTCAAACATATTGAGTAAGTTCATCTGCAGATGGCGTTTGCTGAAAGCTCTAGATAAGGATAATAAGTGGACTTGGAGTTGAGGTTGTTTTACCAGATGTGCCCAATATATTTTATATTTCATTTGTATTTTCTGATATTTGACACAAAGAGGTGATGGAGAGATGCACAATCAGCTTTAGGCTCTATGAAAAGATCTTATCATTTTGATTACATAGTTAATTTCTGCTGATTTGTTTTCCAAAACAACATGGCTATGATCTCTTCATAAACCAAACCTGTTGAAACTGAAGCTTTCAGGAATGGGGTTCAAATAGACATAACTTATCTCAGTGTGAGTCTTGGAAAGGACAGAGGTCACCGTGTTTTGGAACCCAAACCTCTGCCAATTTCTTTCCCAAAGTCCCAAATGAAAAACATCTAAACTAGATCTCTCTGATTCCAGGGGGACTCGGGCAATTACCGCATGAAGAAATCACTGGATTTCAGAAGTTGGCTGTCAGAACAAGAAAAGATTTTAAATAAACATGTAATGGCTCATTCAGAAATAAACACACAAGTCTTTTCTTCCAGCTGTGATGCTTTGCACGTATATATGAACCATTTTGCCTCGTAAACCTCAACTTGTGCCTGTGCATATATTCAACCTCTGTGAATGTTTCTATTGTAGATCATTTTGGAAATGAATGTTGCTTTTGGTGCCCAGGGTACCTCACTGCAACTAGAAGATGGATTAAACACACCTCAGTGATGCACATTCCACTCTTTTGAATTTCTGTTTCTAAACAGACTTGGCCAGGGTTTGAGGATTTGTAGTTGCAAAAGACTATTTTATATGTTACACATTTGTTTTCTCCCTGATGGGACATAGGAACCATTTGGGTTTCATTATCCTCACCACAACTATAGTTTTATTTCACTGCAAACTTGAAACAACTACAACGTACAGTAAATAATCCAAGATTCATTATGTGTGTAAGCACTTCTTGTAAATAACCCTGTTATTGTTAGCTTTCTGTGCTGTTTAACAAAGTTATAACAATGACCAAATACATTTTTATCTAAATGCTTGTGTTTTTATTAAACCCCTGTTTAATAAAGAGCAGAAAGCTCCATTACCTTCACTGTTATCATACCACTTTAAGATCTGAGATAATTACAATATACATCACTGCAATAATTATGACAAGTTTGGTGGGCCTTTCCTGGCTAAAAGTCATAATCACTGGGATTTGTCTATTTACAAATCATGTCATGGAAATAAATGACAACGCCACCTAACAATGAAAACAAGGACTCTATACGCCTCTGTAATGTCAAGACCATTGTCCTGCCTGAAAGTGTTTATCCAAGCCTGCATTGTGTTTCATTTGATTTGGTCTGTGGCTCTGTCTTTTCTGTCACATAATTCAGTTTTGTGTAATGTGCATTTTTTTTTCATTCTTTACCATAATTGTCCCTCTGACTCAGCATGACTTTTTAAATTCCGTTTTTTCTAATTAGCCTCTTAGTTTGTGTGTCTTTGCCGTTTTGCTTTGAGCTTGACTGGATTGTCATAGTAATACAAAGTACCAAGTCCAGTTTTTGAAGCATGAAACTTTGATAAATGAAGGTAATGAGCTCAGTGTGCTGATCTGATGGTTATTGTTACATCAACGTTTGCAGGCCATCAACCAAATAATGTGAGGATAGGGGACTTTTTCTGCTGTTTATAAAGAGAGTAACCTCTGCAATTATGGTGAGCTCAGTCACAATGAGAGAAAAAACAGTAAATGCATTCATTTCACAATAATATGAGGTTGTGCTTCAGTGGGAACTTAGTAGCTTTGCTTGGTCCAAATTGACCCTTCAAAGTGTGAACATGATTTCTATTCACATTAAAACAACAGTGCTGATGTCAATATACACTGTGCAGATGTAGCTAAAGTAGATTTCTTCTTTTATTTGGCTGATATTACATTAATACAGCTGCTTTTTCTAACGCTCTACTTCTAAAAACATTTCTCTGTCAGTTCGGCGTGGCAGATATTGAGCACGACAGATACTGTAGTTATTGTATTTTTTTAAAGGTTCATAAATAGGTTTGGCAAAGTTTATATGAATGACAAAAAATGTTATATACTTTATTTATTAACTGAACTTTATTAGCTAATATGTCATAAAACTGAAAACTCCCATCAGATTTCCAAAGCTACAGTTAAGTTCTTGTTGACTGATTAATAAATGTCTTCACATACAGTGAATACAGAAATAAAGTGGTAAAACCTTTTTTTTTGCCCAAGTTTTGGCACACCATGACCTTTGACCCGAAAAGTGATGGGCTGTAATCAGTTGATTCGTGGAAGCAAAGTCTGTGAGGGCAAAATCGCCTTCATGAAAAAAGACCAGTCTAATGGTAGTGACTTAAAGAAGCAATGATTTTTCCCCAGTTCTATTAAAATGGTGGAAAATTGCTGTTTATGGATGCCTAAATCAGGTTTCATGGGATTATATTAGGCACACACGCTTCTCATGACCACTGATATATGGTTTCAATATTGTATTCTGTCTCCTAGTCTCAAAGGGGTTATATTCCTACAATTTAAATATAAACCTCAAGCAATGCATGGGCAGAAATGGCGCCTTATTTAGAAAATGCGATTTTAAATAATGTATCAATATTATTATGTTCTTATCATTGACAAAGCCAAAATGAATTAGATGAGCAAATAAAAGTTAATAGTGGGTCCAAACATTTAGAGCGCGGTAATAAATATGACAGTGATCCCATGCTACATGATTTCAGTTATAAGGGATTAGGCCCCAATATTTCACAAAGGAATCGCTGCACACCTCCCTCCCTCTCTAAGTTGAGCAATTTCCGTTTCACTGTATACTGTATGTAGATGAAACCAAGGCACTGGCAGCAGGACAAACATTTCCTGGCTGTAATGCTCAGCATCCTTTGTGATAAATGGTGAGTCATGAGCATTGTTTGATTGAGAATATTCAGTTCTTCTGCACAATTTCCAAGTGGTGCTCTTCTGTTCGTGGCTTTGTTTATGTGCGTTTATTCTCGCAGTGGGTGTGACAGGAGGTAGAGAGGGAAACACACATGGAGAGCAAGCGGCAGGTTGACTAGACCACATGAGGCCTTTATAAATGTTTGTCTGACTTGCACTGACGCACACCTTATTCCAGTAAACCGAGGCATATGGCAGAAAATAATCCAAAACCAACTAAAAGACAGGCTGTAGCACTTACAGCTATCTCTGATGTTTCAGAGCAACAAATACAATCTGGGGAGCTTGTCGCAGATTGTTTGACCAAGAAACAAGAAGGTGCCAAAGCTAAAAGAACAAAGAACGCTGCAGCATCAGCTTGTTTGGGGCCATGACCATGTGGTTTGTTTTGGCCTATGTTTCAGAGGCACAGTGTGTGGTTATCATACCACAACTATTTGTCAAGAACACATCTATTTATAGAGTTGACTGGACTCCTCAACAGAATGACTCTGCATCCAGCACAGGCCCGAGATGGCCTTTGCCTGTCTCACTGGGACAAAAACAGTTATTGGTTCCAAAATCAAAAGAACAAAAGACCTTGTTGGATGTTAAAAATGTGTAAAGCACGTGCAAAGAGCATATAAAAACAAATATAAATGTGTGTGTGTGTGTGTGTGTGTGTGTGTGTGTGTGTAAGAGCAAGAAAAATGACATTTTGAAATCAAAATGTGCTTAATAATAAGGTCTTAGATGCGCTGAGTAGTGGTTTAATATCAAGCACCACACGTCTTGTCCACTTCCATATCTACAACATGTGTCACACGGAGAAGTCGGCGCCTGTGCAGTCAGAGCAGAGCCAGAAAACAAAACACTAAAGTTACCAACAGATGAAGTTTTACTGTTGCCACACAAAACCTCAAGTTTGCGTGAAATTCAGAACAAAAAACATTTCTTCCACTCGACTGAAATCTGTTTCTCCGGTCCTTAGAGAACTAGTGACAGAAACCTCATAAAATGAAACCTCTGTCATCACAAGACAGTTCTTAAAATGAGATGTGGCAACAAGCTTGAAAAAAAGGGAAACACTTGAAGCTGGAATTCTTTTCTGGAGCTTTTTGCAGGAAAATGGAAGGATTGAAGTAAAGGCTTTTAGGCCACATAGTTGTTTCATACTTCATCATTCAAAACTGGACACAAGACATTTGTGTTCCTGTTCCTGTGAAAGTGCAGAACTGTAGATGTCAGACCTTCTCCTCTGCAGTCAGCCATTGCTTGGAACTAGCAATGGAATTTGCAGTAGTTTGCCCCATCTGAGAGCATCTGGCTTAGTGTGAGGGCTGTTATCATTAACCCCCCCCCAAAAGAAAACAGAAACCCTCGCTCCCGCAACACACAAGGACAAATAGTCAATCAAAAGAACGCCTTCAATAAGGAGACGATGACAAGCGATAAATTTGATTTGGAAAGAATTTGGACTGAAAAAAAATCTTGCCACAGACTTGCATAACAGACGTGACTGGAATGTCTGAAAGGTTCCCAGTCACTAGTCATGTTTATAGTTTTAACACTTTTGAACATTGTGACCTTAGTATCATTTCTTTATGTCTCCTGTCTGTGCAGTACTGACATATGCTAAAGATAGTTGTCTGGTGTGCAGCAATCACAGCAAGTAAAGGTCCAAACCAGGCTAGAAGCTTGTCCACACAGGGGGCATTTCAGTCACATCACCTGCCTCATCTTTCTGTTTTTATCAGTACACCTGCCTAGTGGCTTGCTTTTCGCTCTCACTATGTGTGTAACCGTCACCCAAAGCATGTTTTTATACTTCAAGCCTACAGTATTTTCTTTCATTTTATACGCCTAACTACATTTGTGTTTTGGGCTCTGAACACTGCCAAAAACATGGCCTACAGTTAGTACTGTCAGATCATACCTTGTGTAAACACAGATGGAGGTCTGAAGCTTCTGCTTTCACAACGTAGGCTGTGTAGACACTAAGATGCCATATAGACTTGGTTTTAAAATCCTTCTCTGTGTGTTTTGAGTAGTCAGATAACAAGTGAACACTGCTAAATATGTAAAATGTAAATGACCACCAAGATGGATTGTGATCCAATCACTCAAACTCCTTGTCGAGGCGGTCTGGGACGCATTGGACCACATATTTTTTGTAATGTAAACGCTAATGGGTGCTGATGCATCTCTGACAATGACGTTACAGAAAAAAGGTCATCAATGCAGAATGTGATAGTTTGTTTAAAGCTCAAAACAATAAAAAAAATGGAGATAAATGTGGGATACAAATCGATGGATGTCTTATGAAAGCTTTACATCGATGAACGGTGAGGTCTCAGCTGTCAACTTGTTTTCAGATCACCAAAGCACATTAAGTCTAAACAAGGTCTAAAAGTCTACAACTATGCAACATGCTGATATTTAGCAGGCAGTTCAAACTACTCCAGTGTTTATCTGCTAGTATTAGTATGAACAATATTACCTGTAGTTTTGCTTCTCACTGCCAATTTGGAAGCGGTCATATAGTGAGAAGGCCTGGAGTCCATCCCAGTCCGTCAGTTCTACACGGAGGGCATACTGCTTCTGGCTGGTCAACTGGTAAACGTACTCATTCCCCAACCAGTGCTCGGCAGACACGCTCCCAAAGCCCTGCAGCGACAGACGACAACCAACAATCAGCAAAGAAATACTGCTGAAAATCCTTTTAGTCAGTTATAAAATAAAAATTATTCAGCAGAAGATTGTGAAATGGAAGGGATGAAATTTTAAAAACATGTTTATTGATTTATTTGTTGCCAAAACAGTGAAAAAGCCAAACATTCATCACATTGTAAGTGTTTTATGCATTTTTAAAAAGCTTTTTAATTTTACTCATCTATAAAAGTGTGTAAATTGGTACCAGCTACAAGTGACATACACATTTTTCCATTTTACTTTCCACTCAAGTCACAAATGTTCAACTCATTTTCGGTTAAAGAATTATTTTGGAAAATATACACTGCATGCACAGACACTCTTTTAAACAACTGCGAAGGTTTGTATTTGATCAGAGTGGCTCCCAGTCAAAGCCAAAGTGCTTCTGACAGCAGTAAGAGCAGCAGATTAGAGGGGAGCAGGATGACATTACAGCTCTGACAGGATAGTCTGGATTGCTCCATTAAAGATGGAGAAAACGGGGGAAGTCTGTGTTTACGCTGAGTGTGTGTGCTGATGAGGAATGGGAAGGAGGGAAAGTAAATATGTGACATTCCTCCGGCGTTAAGCATGTCCTGCTGAGTGGGAGGAAGAAAAAGTGACTAGGCTCATAACCGCTTTCTTTCTCTTTGTTTGCTGTTTCTTTAAAATTGATCTCACTCCTGATGAGATGTTCCCTTCTGACTGGTGTCCAGCTCAGTCCAGAGCCTCCTGCTATGGCCACGATTGATCTCAAGAAGCCCGACTGGAGAAAAGGCTTAGAGTCAATCTGTGTTGGCAGTTTTCTCTCGTATAGTTTCAGTGCTCTATAGTTCTTCACATGCAAACCTGATTCACATCATTCAGCTTAGAAAAGATGAGGGGATGGTTAGTCATACTGTTGGACTGAGAACATGGTTTCTATGTCAATTACACTTGCTAAAATCAATTTTTCTCCTGGAAAAAAAAACAACTTTGTAAACTTCAAACACTGTAAATCTCAGGAACTGCTCCACATAGAATTAGTTTCAAATCCTCAGCAATTCCCAACCTTTTACTAACAGTATCCCCAAAGCAATCAGATAAGTTCAAATTCCTTTGGCAACACTCACTGTGTTCTTATGCAGGGATTGTAAGACAATGCTATTTAACACTATTAAATATGTTTTAAACATAGATAATGTTACAATATTTTATCCACACAATTAAATGATGTTTTGTTTAGTGGTTACTTTTGTTAAGTGTGCATTTGTACATTTCCTTTAGCTAAGTTCTTAATTAGTCAACCAGCTATTTTAACAGTTGTCCAGTTAGGTAGGTAGGTAGGTAGGTAGGTAGGTAGGTACTTTATTGATCCCTCAATGGGGAAATTTCAGTGTTTCAGCAGCAATAGAGAACAAACAACATAACACCATGAGAAACAAACACCACACACACATCCTGATAAATAAATTCCAAGTACTCAAAAATAGACAGAATCAAGTATTTGAATAATCAAGAACAGAATTTACATATGTGCATATTTACAATGCATTTCACCCCCAGGGTTTGAGTATTGCACCTCAGTTGACTATTGCATAGTCCCTCAT